ATCTTTTTTAAAAAAACTTTAACAATTTTCCCCTTCTCAATGGTATTGTTGCATGAGAAAGAATACCCTATTTTGGTGACCGCAACTGAACAGACCCGCAAGTTCTGCAACTACAGCATCCTGCAAAGTCTTTTTATCAAGAATCTTTGCTCTATCTGTGCAGTTTTTCTTCTAAAATTCAAATAGCTTACTTGTATGAGTAATCTCTAAATTGTCTAATACGTGTTTTGTCACATAGTCAAAGAGCAAACGCGTAATTGCATCTTCTCTTAAAATAAAAGAAACTTTTTGGGGTCTTGTATAGTTTAGGTAACAAGACCGATGATAATATAACTCTAAGGAAACTTTGGTTTGCCCAATATACTAGCTGGGTTTTCAGCTCTACTAAAGTGTTTTCTTTTAACATGTTTGCTGCACTTTCTGTTACGAATTTCGCCCAGTAGGCACGGACGTAAAAAAGACGCTTTTAAACGTCTTATACTCGTTTTGGACCTCTTTTGAACGTCTTTTGAACGTTTTAGACGTCTTTTGAACGTTCAAAAGACGTCTTTTTTAGGTCCGGTGCCCATTGGATGTAAGCGTTTTATATCCGTTCCTATATTTATTAGTCTTTTTGCAATAGCAAATGCAACACTTTTCATCCGCAATAATTTTTCATGAAACAAAGGAATTCTTTTAATTTTGAAGTAGTACATAAAACATAAAAAAAACGTGAAAACTGAGGGCAATATTCTTTGCTTTGCATTTCACACTAAAAGGTTTTTAATTTACCTGATCTATCTCTTTTCCGAGCTGAGATTCTATGCTTAAATGAGGATGCATTATCCACGCCTACACTCTCGTTAACTTTTTCTGCTCTATTTTTCTGATTATATAAAATGTTTGATGTTTTTATATTCACATACTTATCGTAACATCTTTGATGAAATAAGAAAGCTGTTGGCCACGCATCAGCAGGTCCGTATCCAGCATTATTTGGTCTTCGAGATTTTTTACCATATAAAGTTTAAACCTCCCTTAATTCGAGGGGGTTGCAAATTTTATATTGTTATAATTATTGAACGCTGAAATATTTTACTATGAAATTTAAAATTTATCGATAAATATAAGTCTGGTTAAAAAAAGTACTAAAATATTTTATCAACTTGTTGCTCTTACGTTTAGGACAGGGGAAGCACAAATTTTGGGGCTTTTTGTTCTCAAGCTCCAATCATCGCAATTTTTCGAAAAGCATCCTTATTTGACATAAGTATAAACATATAAATGTTTGGAGTTTGCTCCATGTCTAAAAGTTACATATCTCGAAGACCAAAAAATGCTGGATACGGACCTGAATTTCAGGTAGAATGTTTATGGTTTTAAAGTCATTTTGAATTTGACGATAGTAAAAAAAAAATATTATTATCAAATTTACGCTATTTATTGTTTTTTCCGTACCATTGATTAAGGCATATATAAAAGAATAAATTGAGTTGTACATTTAGTTTGTGACTTACCAAGCATTGTAAGTCACAATGCTTGGTTTGCAAATCACAATGCACAGGTCTTCACTTTCGCAAGCGCATTTTCAGTAAAACCACAGAGTTTGTTATTACTACGACAACTTCACCTTGATGAAGTATACAAGCATTTTTAATTTCTTTTTTAGGAACCAGATTAAAATGATGCATTTTTTGGCTACTCGCCAATAAATAAATCACGTTTTTTTAGTTTTATGTTTTATATTTTTGCAACAACTGTTTCTTTTAAAATGATTGCAGTTTGTTATGCAAATATTTTGTTTTATTTATAAAAATGACTTTCCCTTTTTTATTTTATTTATGACGGTAATTCTTTGCTTTTAAAAAGAACTTTGGTAACATAAAAAAAAGTAAACAGTTTTTGAAAAGTAAACATTTTTTAACGTAAACAAAGAACGGGAACATTTTTTTATTTTTTAGATTTATTAAATTAAAATTATTCCATATTTTTATACAATAAAAAAAAAAAAAAAAAACTATAAACAAATTTTTTTCTAAATAAGGTTTATGAAGTTTTGGTTAGATAGATTTAAGTAATTATATTGAAAACATCTAATTTTACAGACATTTAACCCCCTGTCAATAATTTGGTAAAACTAAATTAATGAATTTATAAACAACATGGCAGATATATCATGCTTAAAATCTTTTCAATGAGCTGCATCATTTTTTGTCTCTAACTTAAGTTATAAGCACTTTCCAAGTGGCACGTAAAAATTTTTAAACTTCTTAAGTTATAAGGAACAAGTCATTATAAAAATCCGAATGTCCACTCAAAATGTTTAGTTTTCCTTTTTTTTTTACATGTAGCGACCAGACTATAAAAAGTATATCCAGTTCCTACAGACAAAAAAAAACACGTTTTATTTTAAAAGCTCATTGCATTATGTTCAGCCCCCTCAAACTGAGAGTTTTCAAACTTTTTAAGGTCATAGTTTTTGAATGCTAAAAGATAATTGTGTGAATTTTAAAATTTATCGATGAATATAGGTTTAGTTAAGAATAGTATAAAATTAATTTATGAACTTGTTGCTCTCACGTTTGGGGCAGCTGCAGTTAAAATTTTAGAGCTTTTTTTCTCCCAGGCACCTATCGGTGCAATTTTTTGCAAAGCATCCTTATTTGATATAAGTATAAACATATAAATTTTTGGAGTTTGCTCCATGTCTGGAAGTTAGGTATTTCAAACATCAAAAAATGCTGCATCCGCGTCTGATGTTTATAATTCTTATGAATTATAACTTTGTTTTTTAAATATGCGTCACTTAATGTATTAGATAGTTGTATAATTACTATATGTTTTTTTTTTTTTTGTATTTTTATAAAACTTGGTTTTAACTTGTAACTTGGTTTTAACTTTATAAAACTTGGTTTTAACTATGTAAACTTGGTTTTAACTTTGTCTACTTAAGGTATCGCACTTGTTTTTTGTTTTTTTTTGATATTTTCTTGTAACAAATAATGTAGTTATTTATGGTGTATTATGATATATGTTTGAAAGCAAAAACTTTATTCTTAAAACACTATTTTAAGTGAAAAACAAACAAAAAACAAACCTATTACTACAGTATTTTTATAAAGCGGGTCAGTCCGTTTACCCGGGCTCACTAAAAAAAACAATAATATAAAAAAAAATACATATTAATATTGAAATTTAAATTTGAATTATATTTAATTTTGATTTATATTTAATGAGTTATTTTAAAAACAATTTTGAATGATTTTGATTAGATAAAAGAATTAGCGTAATTTATTTTATCCAATCAGCTACATTTATAGGCCGGGCTGGCTCTCTTGTTTGTGTTTATATGGGAAAAAATTGTCTCACCTGACTGGGATTCCACTGAAATTAGGCGAGATCTCAGGTATTTAGGCTGGGCCGTTTCTCATGTAAACAAGATTAATTTTTATAGGTAAATATAAAACATGCGAGATCTTGTTTAAGTGAGTCATCCCAGTTAACCGGGTTAGTCCGCCCCATATAAACAGTCCCCAAGTTAAAAATCTAATAAGATTATTTTTTTTCTTTTCTTGTAGCTGCAAGTTGGTCAATATCATCCTTTAAATTTAATTAAGCTGCTTTTTCTGCACCAATAGCTATTAAGCTACGGAAAAACAAAGGGTCTTGTATCATCTTAAAGATCTTTCTGTAACTGCCGCTATACAACAAGTATAAAATAAATGCTCATATTATTTGTGTAAACGGGATAATGAATAACTCAACCACTCAAAAATGTTTTTGTTATGTTTAAATAGAAGGCTTAAATACCTCCACAGATATTATAGAGACACTCTAACACTATTCATAAACATAAAAACTAAAGTAAGACACGTTATTACAAACCAATGTCCATTTTTTGTACATTACGACAATCTAAAGTAAAAGTATGTGTTTTTAGATTAAAGGGAATTATATAATAAAGGAGTATTGTAAAAGATTGCATGGAACAATAGTTTAAAAGACCGAAAGAGGCGTAGAAGCAAAATTAGTTCAAAAAAACTCAAGATTTTGAAAATGTGTTTTTAACTTTGTCATAGTCATAAACTTTACTGTTGAAAATTTAAAAAAAAAAAACTTTAGAGGATTTAAGGAGACCCGGATTAGCCGAAATACTGGGTTAGTTGAAACTATGAACTTAAAATAAAAGTTCATAGTTTCGTTATGCAAACAAGTCCATAGTTTCGTTATGCAAACAAGTCCATAGTTTCGTTATACAAACATGTTATAAATATTTGAAGAACTAAAACAAATACTATTTTATTCTTGAATCAAATAAATTGTGAAAACTAGGTTTTTTCTCAAAATTTTAAAGAGCAGTATAAATGAAGTAACTTTTTGTGATTTTTTTTAATATTAACTGTAATCTTGTATTGTAAAAGATGTTAAAATAGTTTGATAACATCTAAATGGTATTTTTTTTTTTTTAGTCGTTTTTTTTAATGTGCTTTTTATAGAGTTTTGTGCATCGGAAATATTAAATTATTTAAAAGTGTAGTGGTTAATTGCAGGTTTGTTGGAAAGTTGTGATTAATGTTTGTTAGATTGTTTAAGTATCATTTATATTCCTTCCATTATCATATATAGAATATACTTTTTATCTTATAATAATTCTGACAAGTTAAGTTAGATTCTAAATCAAGAATCGTATCATTTACCATGTGTTTTCAGGCATTTAACTTTTTCGCTTCAACACGTTGTTGACAATGAAGCCGCTGACGTTAAAAAAGCTGATTGCGTCTGATATATTTGATATAAGTTTAAAAAAAAAGGTTTTCAACTATTGCCAGAAACAAAGTAGCGAAAGTAAAGAAGATAGAGACAAAAACTGAAAAAAGGGCCACAAAAATATTTTACACCAAAATACTTCTACGCTGTATAAGAATAAGTTTTTAAAAAGAAATCAAAAAAACATTTAAACAATAAAAAATCTGCAATAGCCAAAAAGAGCAAGCAAGAAGTAGCTTACATATTGGCATATCTAACTACAGATTCATATGTTTCCAAATGCAAATGTGCTGATGAATCAGGTGAATATTGTGTGCTTAAGTAAGTAGTATTTAGAATATTTATGTACTTTTTAAATGATTGTATTTTAGTCGTAAGTTTAGAAATTAAAAAAAAGCCAATTAACCTCTACCTTCACTATTCACTGTTACTGTTATAAACTATGTTTATATTTAACAACAGAGTTTAAGTTTCATACAATGGCATATTAGCATTCAAAAGTTGTAGCATTGTTAAGTTTATAATTATTTAATTTAACTATAAAAATTTTACATGATCATATTTTAATATAGTATTAACATCGGACCTTTTGCAAAAACATCATTTTATGCCATAAGCATAGAAAAACCCAAGTTTGGAGTTTGCTTTATGTCAGTTAAATAAGATGGCGCAATACGTGTTTCATGTCTGCCTCAATCTCAACTGTTAAAACGCGTGTATTAAAAAGACTTCAGGATGAAGCTGAAATGACAAAGGCGAACTCCTAAAAGTGGTAAAATTTGTTTATATATATATATATATATATATATATATATATATACTTTGATTACAGCAAACTCCCATTTCAACAAACTGGGACTGATTAGAAAGTTTTTGTTTATTCGAATTTTTATTCCCCGAGAATTTTTTCTCACAAACTAACACATACTTTAGGGTGGGGGTAGAAATTACATTTTTTGAAAATTATTCTGCTATACTCCTAGGTTTTATACAATAAAATAACACTTAATTAAAAAAACCTTTGAATAAAAATATTTTAAGGTCCTAACCCCAAAAAATATATTTTATTTTAAAAATTATGTAAAAGTATGTCTGTTGTATAAATTTATATGAAACCTGGTACTCAAATTTTATAAAATTTTATAAAATTTTCAAAAATCTTCAGTTATAACTTGTCTAAAAAATTTTTTTTTGATTTAAAAAGTTTCGTTTAAGAAATTTCTAGTGTAGATTGAAGGGTGAATACTAGTGTGGATTGAAATTTTTTTTTTAAAAAAAAAGTCATTTTCAATCCACACTAGTATTATTAACTATTTTGTTGCAAATAAATTCATTATCTTTGTTGTCTTCTCTAGGTTTAAAACTTCAGTTTTAATCCAAAAACTTAAAAAGTTTTTTTTTTCTTTCATCAATCATACAATAATTTGTATTCATACAATCATACAATATTTTGTACAATATTGCATATTCAAAAAGTTATTTTAGTTAACTTAATTTTAAATAAAATTGTGTTCGAATAAATGAAGATTTTTATTTATTTGCTAAAGAATCTTGAAAGATTCTTTAGCAAAATTATTTGCTATTATTATATATTATTTACTATTATTATATATTATTTACTAAATAAAAATCTTCATCTATTCGTATACAAGTTTATTGCAAAATAAAAAATAACTACCCCCTATATTTCTCCGTATCTCACAAAAAGCAAACGTTTAATAGTTTCACTAATCGCTAATTCTGAATGCAGGGTTGAACTGTTCTCATCACAAATTCTCATACACTAATCACAAATTCTTCATGCAGGGTTGAGCTGATAGATTTAAAACCAAATTTAAGAGAATGAGCATTTTTTTATCTACAAACATATTAATAAAATAAGATATTCTAAACTTTTTGTAAAAATAGGTAAGTTACTAATACCCGATAGTTACTTCCATTAATTAAGGTCTTTTGGCATGATTTAAAAAGTGATATATGAAGACATCGATTTTGTAGTTCATCTATAATTTATTGAGTAATTAATGAAGTTAATTATTCAATGCGTCAGAGTTTTGCAAATTGCGTGCTATAAAAGTTCTGATAAATTACCATACGAGCCTCGAGATTTGTTTGATTTTAAAGTAGAAACAGCCGCTCGAATATTTTCATCGGTTATTATTACACTATCATGCTATGGATGATGGAGTTTTTGAGCTATATTATTTTTAATTATTCTAGGATGTTTAATAATTCTTCAGACATATTTGTAAGTTCTAGTCATGGTTTATTATCCTTTTTATTATTTATTATGAAAGTTTATTTTTATATATATATATATTTTTAAGAGCATTGTAAAATATTGGTTTTCTTTTTTTAATTTTTTTATTTATAACGTATTGCTTGTAGAGTTTGTTTTGAGGTAACTTAGCGGCCTTGCGGAAGTTTGTTTGAATCACTTTGTAAGTGGTAGAATCTGAATGTTTTTTTTATATCTCCACTTTCGAAAGTGATAAGACAGAATCCTTTAATTTTGGTTTCTATTGGGAGTCCACCAGGATTTGGAATATATAAATATTTTCTTCTTGTTAAGGTATTTACAATGAGCCGCAATCGTGCTACGAATAATGGACATATAAATTTAGGCTAGCGCATTTTCATAGTTGCAAATTGTAAAGATCAGGTTGTTAAAATTAGCATTTAGATAGTCATTATATAAGTATAAAATTGCTGTCACTTCAGATTTAACTTGGAATACTATTTTATCAATAGTTCCTTCATATTGGAAACCAATAAGTTTAATTGAGATTGATAGTGGCAAATGATTGCTCATATTTTTAGAGGAAGAATTAACAATACATGTGTAATGAATAAGAGATATATTTTATGCGAGATCCATGCAATCAATGTAAGATGATTTAGATCATATATGATTTAAAAGAGTACGAGTTGAATTTCTAAATCCATTTTTATTTATTTGGAAAGGTAACAATCCTGCTGTTATTTTTTTTTTGTTGTTGTTTTTTATTCTAATTCACTCATAACCAGGCGGCAATCAACCTCTGTTAAGTTGAGAGTTACTAGAAATCCAAAGAATACCATAAAAGAAACGACTGAGAGAAGACTTAAAAAGTTATAGGTTGTCAAGAAAACATGAAGACGAGATTTTCAAAGGGTTGAAGTACGGGGTATAAAACTAGACAAATAAGGATTTTTAAAGCATGCAAGGCCAGTATTGAACTAGAGTTGGTAGCTCCTTCGAGCAAGAACCATGATAGTATTTGTAGAAAAGAAAAAGAGATTTAACTTTACGACGATGGGAGAGAGGCTCAAGTTTGGCAGATGAAGCAGTTTCAATTACGTTGACAATGTGTTTTTTATACCTTCTTTAAAAGTGAATGGCATCTTTAGAAGAACCAGCCCAAATATGACAACAGTATTCTTTACAGGGACAAAGAGGAGTCAGGAATCAGATAATAGAGAGCACGATAAAAAAAGTAACTTGATGTCAACTTTGCGACCGTATGTATATATGGGTTGCATATGAGGTCAGTAATAAACAATAATCTTCAGAAGTTACTAAAATTGAAGAATATTGTTAGAATTTGAGGCTGACTATACTATAAATGCCAAACTTTTGTGTTAGAGTCAAGCCATTTAGAGTGATGAGCGTTAAAGTAAATAATAACAACAATATTGGCAGAGGGATAAAAAGAAAGGCCATTGGCAATTTGATCAGAAATTACGTCTGAAGAATTGAGAAGTGCATGTATTGAGAAGAAGGAGAACGATAAAGAAAAAGGTGATAGAGTAAAGAAGGACTATGCCGAAGCACAAAAAAGAATATTCAGAGAATTCGAACCTAATTTTTTGATAAATCAGTGAATTGATGCGTAAATATATGCCCAAGCCGAGAATGTGACCATTGGAATCTTTGCGAATCATGGTAAAAATAGTTTTCATCAATACTGAGATCTAAAAAAAGGAACAGACGAATTTAAATCTCACAAAAAGCAAGAAAGTCTGGAGAATTTTGAGATAATGATGGAAAGGTTCAACTGATGGAAAGTTATTTCAACTGATGGAAAGTTATTTCAACTGATGGAAAGTTATTTCAACTGATGGAAAGTTATTTCAACTGATGGAAAGTTTTTTCAACTGATGGAAAGTTATTTCAACTGAAGGAAATTTATTTCAACTGATGGAAAGTTATTTCGATGACCAATAATATTTTTTATAAAAGATATAATAAAATATATATTGTTAGGTGTTGGAGATGGTTTTTTATTTTTAGAAATTCTGGTTATTTTGGTCATGGTTTAAGTTAAAAAGAACTTAACTCATTCATAAATAGAGACATCACAAGCAATGAGCTTTGCAGTTTACCCAATCTTGCAAATTTAAACCTCCTGATATGGACTCGACAATCAGTCGCGATTTTACAAATAAAATGAGCGAGGGGGGGGGGGGAGGTATATCCTTAAAAAGTACCGACTGGTTCCTTAAAAAGAATAAAAAATAATAAGGTCGTTTGAAATAACCGACTAAATAAACACCTCCCCCTAAAATTGCCTCTGTCAACAATACACACTTAAAACACTAACAGGGACATCAATCTTTGTTATCTAATAAGGCAGGGTAAAAATTTTTTTTTTGTCAAAAATGTTTGTTGAAACTTTAAAAGAACCATTATTCTAATTGTCTTTGTATAAGTTAACTAATATGGTAACAAAAACATGCTTTTTTTAAAAAACAAAATTTGTTTATTGACGGGATGGTCTATTGTTTTTACCTACTAAGATGAAATTATTTTGACCATCGACATCACATGTCATGATGTTTTAAAAATTTTAGATTATTAAAATCGGAGGTACACAGGCTATTTCCGATTTAAATAAGATTGGTTTGAGCCACAGCATTTTGCAATTGTTTTTAGAAGTTGTCATTATTATTTTTTGTTTGAACAGTTAACCGCAAGATTTTTGAATGACGCTTCTGCTTATGAAACATATTGTAAAATTGTAAAAATATTATATTTTAATAATGGTAAAATTATAAAAATATTTTCACTTTGCTGTTGATAATTGAAATTTATTTTAATTTTAAATTTATATTTGGAAATTGATTTTTCAATTCATTGTTTGAGGATGGTTCACCGCAAGCTTGTTGAAATTTTGTAACTTTAAGCCTCTTAATTTTCACTTTGTGCATATTAATCAAAATTTGAAGTTTTTTATGATTGTGATTTTATTATTAACTGTACAGAAAGGGAATTTTCATGCATTTTATATCTAAGTTTTGTGTATTCAGTGGAATACTTACTTTAATTTTATCTTTTGAACAAAGCAGACACAACTTGTTTTAATGAAAATTATAACTTCTTCCCATGATGGCATACTGACGAGTTGGGCGTGTTGCAATATTGACGAGTTAGGAAATCTTTTTTTTTTATAAGAAAAACTTATTTTTAAATAAAGTAAAAAGAAAGCGATGCTCCAAAAGTTTTTTTTTTGGTCCAAAAAATACCTAAAACGCAATATATCCTATGTGCATGCGCAAAACTTTACTATGCTGCTGTGTAGCATAAAATGGCAAATTAGGATGGTTCCGAGTAATTTCTGGCTTTTTTAAAGGAAGACTCTAAGGTTAAAAAAAATTATCAAATTACCCTTGATCCTAAGCATTCCCATCCTCCTCGATGCCTTCATAGGAGCAGTGGTTGCCTATGATGGCATACTTGTGCTTTTTTATTAAAATAGGAATAAGTTATAAAAAATACAAAACTGATGAAAACTCCGAGGGTTATTATTGTTTTATATGTAACAAGGAATCTATATCAAAACTTTTATTATTGGTCTTCAGGATACTGAATAATGAAGCTTCAAAGTTAAGTATGCCATCATAGGCGCCTTTACCCTATATACTTTTGCTATTACTTTGTCAAACTGCTTTTTACTTAAAGTCTATCTTTATATAATTGAATCGCATGATATCAAAATGCCCAGAATTTTAGCCGAAAGACTTCTATATGTGTATATAAAAATTTCAAAATATAAAAATTAGGCTTTCAAGAACTAGCATTAAATTTTGAATATATTACGATGACAATTGGCGGCCAATTTTCATCGTAATTTATCGCCAATTTTAATTGTTGGCGGAAATATAAAAAAAATATAGAAAAGTAATATTTTCCGCTTGCATTTTATTTAAAATTTGTTGCGCATATTTTAAAAACTTTTCCGCGCGGAAATTTCTAAAAAATCTGAATAGGAGATCGGCTTAATAGCTTTAAGGATTAAATTTTGATATGGATTTTCTCAACACTAATCTTTTTGATAACCGATTTTTGAAATTGATAATATGTGACACTATGTTTAGAGTACAAGGATATTAAAATACAGAGAAGTGTCTGCTTGAATAATCAGAAAATAAATCAGAAAAGACATAATTATAAAATGATAACCATTAAAAACACTAGCAAAAAAAAAAAACACTCGCAAACTGAAAAGTATAATACTTGCAAAATATTTTTTTTTACTTTTTAACTGGATCGATTTTTACTTTCTTTTGTCGCCGGGATAACTACCTAGTTTTTTGGTGTTTGATCAAACACCAAGTTTACCTAATTGCCACCCTTAATTTGTCGTAATTTCAAAACAGATAAGTTATTAAACAAGTTAAAGTGAACGCTTTATATAAAACAAAACCTATTTTGCTTATAACAAATATAACACAATAGTACTTTATTTTATAATCAAAATGTCAACTAAAGAATTGTCTAACACATGTTTTAAAAACAAAAAAATTAAATATATGATATTTATATAAATATGCTTAAATACCCATTATTATTATTATTATTATTATTATTATTATTATTATTATTATTATTATTTTTCAATTTTGAATATCTTATTGCGTTCCCATTTTACACTAGTATCTGATTTTGATTCTTTGCTTAGGGATAAAAACCAATAAAATTTAACGCATTTTATAAATGTATTACAATTGATTGAAATTTGATTAAAAATGACACTAAAAAAAAATACCGTTGCATCACATTTTTAAAGAAAAGTTCAAAAATAACCTTCTTAATATTTATATGTATAATTATATAAAAAATTAAGAAAAAAACAACAACAATAAACTTGTGCAACCAGAGCCGCGGCAAGTACACTAATTTATTATAACTCTCAATTCGGAGTCTCGTCAAAGAGTTGTTAAGAGTTGCCTTGTTAAAAGACTTAGCATTAGGCTCTTAATAGCAAGTTTTAACCGATAAAACTTTCAAAGATTGACTAACATTAAGCAATGAAAGTATAATAATAATCACTATTATTTGTTGTTGTATAAGTTAAAGCCGAGGAGCCCATTTGCAAAACGCGCTAAATTCGTTTAAGTTGATCTACTCGGACTTAGCGCGGACTTTTAATAATTAAGTAAATTAAGAAAACGACGAAAAATTGAATTACTCATAATTGCGCATCAACAGAAATTAGTATTTTCTTCGTCTATTTTTACAGCAAAAAACTTATAATTGGTCTAATATTTAAATGGATGATAGGTTTCAGTATAAAGACAAAGGAAACGGAATTAACTCAAAATTTTTAATTTTGTGACCGCGTTTTGCGTTTGCTCCTTACTTAATTGATTTGTTCGCAAATCTTATTACGTCATAAAATAGATATTTTCCAAAACTTACGTCATTAGAAACGTATTTTTCAAATAAAAAATGACCAGTGTATTTATATGTAGCAAAAATAAATTTTAACCTTATAATGTTATCTGTCAAATAAGAATGCTTGCAAAAAATTTCGTTTTTTTTTTACTCATCTTAACATATTCTTATTTTTTATTTTTATTCAAACAATATTTACCGACTGATATAATTTTCAGTCATTAATTACGTAGCGTATACGAAATGCGACCGAAAATAAAAATATCGAAAATTTTGGAGTTTTTTCCTTGCCTATAAATTCCTTGTTAACATGTGTAAAAACTTAGCAACACTATTGCACTAAACAAAAATGCATTTGTCAAACTTATTGAAATATATAAATAAATATATGCCAATAAAAAAATTAAAAAAATTATATTTGCTACTAAAAAACAATCATATATTTATATGAAGTCAAGTTTATTTTTATAAAATTAATACCAATCTGAAAACGATATAAAAGTTTTATGAAAACAACAATATCTTTATATAAAATAAAGTTATAACTAATGTTATAGTGGTTTTTATATAAATATAATTTGTTTATTGCATCTTTTTTAAAACAATCAAATTAGCTAAAACAGGTTTGTTTTAGAGAATTTAAAAAAAAAAAGTTTATCTTTGGATATATTGGTGCATCAACGCTTTTAACGTAATATTGGTTACATTGCGATTATATTTTCCTATTATTTAATAATTAGCGCACTAATTATATTTAAGTATGCACTTATAAAATATTCTCGTATCGCATTTATCGCAATAAAAATCTCAGAAAAGAAACACACTTTTTAGGTATATTTGCTTTCAAGTTCTTTACATGTGCTAAGTGCATTCCAACCTTAATCCTTTTTTCATTTTTCTTTAATTAGTCGCATAAAATAACATTTTTTAAACACTTGGTTCAAGGATGAGTAAAGATGGTTACATAAGAATATAATGTTTCTTATAATTAGAAATAATTATTTATCTGTTTAAAAATTGGTATGATCACTAAAAAAAATGTAAAAAATTTCGCTATATGTGTATAAAAATTTCGCTATATGTATATAAAAATTTCAAAATATAAAAAAAAATTCAATACACATTTTTTTAAAAAGTTGTTCAAACAAAAACATAACCTTTTCAAATTTAATTCAATTGAATTTCATTTTTAAACAACTTGCTTTAAGCAAAAGATTTATTTCTTTTTTCAAATTGATTGCGTTTATTACATTTCCTATTTTTTAAAACGACGGTATAAAATGTGTAACTCATAAAAGGCTCTTAAAAAGTAAATACAGAAACAAATCAAAAAGTTAAATTGATACGAGGATAAGACGATAATGTCTAATAAATATTTGAGTTTAATCTTACCTCTGACTCCTTTGATAACTTCCGAAATAGTTCGTCCGTATCAAATTTTGCTTTTTGGTCAGGAACTACACGAGTCATATTTGATAATGCTTATAAAAACTCCACCAAAAACTAAATCTTTTAAATAAAAACAGTAAACATTTAAAAAAATTTTTTAGAATAAATGAACATTGAACATTTTAAGATCATTTGATATGTAAAACGAGTAAGAACGATACAAAGTAGCAACTGTTTATTATTGAATACTTTTACGCTAATTTATGCAAACCTCAATCGGCCAGTTGGATTATTGGACAAATTTTAATTTGAATACTGAATAAATGATAATATGGCACTCGTAAAATATTTCCTGTCAAACTGAAGTGTTTTTATAAAATTTGTTTTGTATTTATTAGATATTTAAATTTTTTTTTTTTTTTTTTTTTTTTTTTTTTTTTTTTTTGCATTAGTATCAACTTTTACTCTTTTTATTGTAGGGTAATGGTCACAGAAAACTTCTATTGAATAAAAAGCACGCAATAAAAAAGTTTATGCATCTTTTCTCTAAAATAAAATTTTTGCTTAAAAAATTGAAATAAAAGCCTTCAAAAAGTTATTAATCCTAACTTTACTTAAGTATTGCCACTTGAGTGACCTATTGCTATTTTAAGTGAACTCGCTGGAAAATAAATGAACACCAGTTTTTAATGTAAAGCACTCTGGTTAAATTTTTAACTTCTTATCGTTTGGTCAAATAATTCGCGTGCTTTACACTTCATGGTGTCAAAAAATAATTTATTTTCACAGTTTTAATAATATTAATTTTATAGTTTTAATAAAATATAAAACGCTTATTTTTTAAAAAAACTTTTTTTTTTGTGTAATAATAAATTATATTTCTAAATGTATTTTAGATATTATATAGTAAATAGTTTAAATTTTCATATCATATTGAAAGTATTTTAATAAAAGTAAATTGTCATGCCAAATGTTTACATTTTAGATATAGTACTGGAAATACTTTAAACTATAATTTGTTGAAAGATTCATGAAATAGAAATTATATTTTAAGTTGTATTTCTTTTTTTAAATAGAATGCTTTAAAATGCTATTTTTAAACAGCGATTGAAAAAATATTCCACTAAACACTCGGTTTTTTAAAATAACGAGCTCAAACGTTTGGGTTGAACTTTTGGTATTTTATTATTTAGCATAAATATGATAAAAATAGTTTTCTTTGTCTCACTCAATCTCACAGTGATGCACTCACATAATAGCACCAAATTTTATCAGAATGATTACACCTATCCCTTTTATATAATAACGCCTAAATAATTTTACGTATGCTAAACGTGTGTTTATATGTATAAATATAAACATATAAGGTCTTACTTTTCTAAGTAAAAACCTCCGTGATCTAATTTTTATTTATTATATTATGCCATTGTGTTTTTCCCTAGTAAGTGAGATGTAATAATACGTTAAGTATTAAAATGCATAAGATTGTTAATTATTATTATTATTTATATTATTGTTATGATTTTTATTCTTATTTTTATTCTAATTATTATTAATGTAAATGTATAATGTATAAATACATCATGTAATGTATAATCTATAAATACATTAGGCTTTTAAAAAAAATGGGCACTTTATTTCAACTTTGTTGCATAAAAGTTTTATAGAATTACTTACCAAGACAAAATCATTTCTTTTTTCCTCTATTAGAAAAACGAATAAAGTTTCTAAAATCCTCTTTTTTACAAATTACTAAAAATTATACCTTAAATTTTAATTCATTAATTTGATATAAACAAAAAATTAAAAAAATTTCAACAAACAGACATAAGTTTAGTTTACCAAATACATTAGTTTATATTTATAACAGGTAATTAAGGTAATTATAAAAGGCGGTCTTTCATTTTTTCTTTTTTTAAGTTAATCTTATATTAAATATTGTACGTGTAACATTAGATTAGTAATGTTGAGTTTTGTAAATAAATAGATTTAACCGTATTAATGTATATCACAAACATTTATGTACTGATATTGGCTGACACTTCATCCTACTGATATCTTCAATTACTCGCAAACACCTCTTTTAAAAAACAATCATTTTCATAAGAACATTAAATGATTTAAAGTGATTCAAATCAAGTAAAGTTAGTTTTACTAGTAACATTTACTTAATTTCAAAAAGTAACATTTACTTAATTTCAAATTAGTCTTTAACTTATTTGAAATTAAGTAAATGTTACTTTTTGCTATTTAATTGTAAAAATTGTAATCAGTAACTTCATTTCGTTTTTTTCCTGGCCATAAGTTTGAATCGTCAAATCGGCGCACATGCAAATGATGTGCATCGATAAACCAAAATTATAAAGTTTATACTACTAAAATCCAATGTTCTGAATTTTGTTCTATTTGAGTTATCTCTGAGTAACATTAGCGTTAAAACAATCAATTTGTGAAAAATGACGTTTACTAGTCAATCTCGAACAATATTGGTCTTTTTTAGGCGTCTTCTAAGTAAGCTAACTTGTTTTTATAGTTCAAGATAATCGAGTCAATGAGTTTTTTTAACGCACTGTTCTTAATGTATAGTTTTTTTCTGTAAACAAAAAATTAATTACTTAACATTGATGTTATATTGATGTTATACTCATTTTTAATAATTCTTCCAGTACAAAATAATGCTGTTTTATCCAAGAAAAATTTTAGATATTAACAAAAAATGTTAAATTTTTTTTTCCCTATTATATTATTTTCCATTTAGCAAAACAATATTTCAATATTGTTTAAATAAATCTGAACATTACGCACGAAACTAAAAATATTTTGGATATTATCAAAAAATGTACTATAGCTGAAGTATCAAATAATTTTAGATTTTTTAAGAGACTTAATTAAACAAAGTTTATTGAGATTATACAATAACCATAGTAAGTAAATAAAAAACAGTGAGATTATCAATTTAAGAATATTTGAGCTTGCAACTTGAGCATCAGTACAAACATAGGAGAAAAAACAACAAAGAAAGGATCAAACGCCAATATTAGTTATAATTAGTTAGTCAGTTTATTTTATGCGTTTAAGTCTAGCTATTTTTCACCTTTAATTGCTGCTACAATGTCTAAGCTTCACACACCATTTCGCATTATAATAAATGAGTTTCACACATCTCTTCACAATAAATTGTCTGAGCTTCACTTCTCTCTTGACATTGCAATGCCTGAGCTTCACACATCTCATCACATAACAATATCTAAGCTTCGCACATCTCTTTACAATAAAATGTCTGAGCTTCACTCAATACTTCACATTACAATTTCTTAACTTCACACACCTCTTCACATTACAATGTCTGAGCTTTATTCATCTCATCACAATCAAATGTCTGAGCTTCACACATCTCTTCACATTACAATATCTAAGCTTTGTACACCTCTTCACAATAAACTGTTTGAGCTTCACTCATCACTTCACATTACAATGTCTGAGCTCCATACATCTCTTCTCATAACAATGTCTGAGCGTCACTCATCTCATCACAATTAAATGTCTAAGCCTTACTCATCTAATTACAATCAAATGTCTGAGTTTCACACATCTTATCACATTACAAAATCTAAGCTTCGCACATCTCTTCACAATAAATTGTCTGAGCTTCACTCAATACTTCACATTACAATTTCTGAACTTCACACATCTCTTCACATTACAATGTCTGAGCTTTACTCATCTCATCACAATCAAGTGTCTGAGCTTCACACATCTCTTCACATTACAATATCTAAGCTTTGCACATTTCTTCACAAAAAAATCTCAGAGCTTTACACATCTTTTTACATTACAATCTCTGAGCTTCACTTATCTCTTTACAATTAAATGCCTGAGCTTTACTCATCTCTTCACATATCAAGTTATTATATTTAATTCTTAAACGTATTTTTATTAAACCTTGATATTAAGTCCAATTCACTTACTTTGTTTAAAACTGTCAAGCTTAAGGATTTGAAATTAGAACTAACTCTTACAAGGCTAGCTGTAGTAATATTTGAAAAGTAATATTTCAAGTAACTTTACTTCTTAATCTAATTACAAAAAGCTCAAAATGATAACAAGTATAAAGTATAAGTAAGACTTGTTTTAGTATGATGGAAAAGTTATTAAGGCATTGAACAAAACTGCCCCCTTATGTAGCGTTAAAAAGATTAGATCTGAACCTGTAAAATAAACTTTTTTTTGGGTTGTTAACTTTTCACTAATGGATAACTTAATTTGAATATACTCTTCATTTTCACTTTTATCATATCATCTTTCAGGAGCCGTCCCGAAGAGACTTAAAGGGGGGTGACGTATTTGTTTTTTGACAGGTTAAGGTCTGGAAATTTTTTTGGCCGACTAAGATCAGTAAAAAAAAAAAAGATCCTCGATTTGCCGACTGATTAATTTCTTAAGAGGGTCAGACACCCCCATACCGCTTTCTTGAGACGGTCCTGTAATCTTTGCTCAAATACAAAATGTAAAATAGATTGTTTCATGCTAAAAATTCTAAAAAGAATCTAATAAAGAAAAAAAAGTAATAACTTTGATAAAAACTAATAATTAAAGGTTTATAGAATAATTAAACCGTTTTGTGGAAAGTTCAAAAACTCAAAACATTAGTGCTGTTTATTCAGCAATCTCAAAATTCCTGGTGTAGATACTGACATTGTTTTTAATAATAATTTTTGAAATCAGCTTGGTCACTATATAATTTAAGTTTAAGTTCTTATCGACAATATTGTAATAGTATTATTAATATTATTAATAATAAAAGTATTGTAGTAATTTAATATAAGATATAAAAATCTTCATCTATATAATAGGAAGTTTATTTCTCGAAGGATTTGTAATGTTTTAGAACGTGGGTTACAGATTGCCGATGAATTAGAAATTTTTAATGGACTTTATTTAGAAAGAATCAAATAAGGCTATTAACAAAGAGATTAGGAGTGTTAAATTAAAGTATTTATACAAAATAACAAGTGGTAATGTTATTAAAAACCAATTCAATTATTTTAAGATTATAAATGACCCAGCTGAAAAAAACATTCAAGTTACCAGCCATTCATTTACAAATGGTTTGTTTCTCTAACCAGAAATTTCTCTCATTTTAAACAGTAGTAATTTTTTTTTAAGTTTTTATAACTGTTAAAATTGTTATTATTATATTTTAAAGCTAATATTTTAAACAATTTAAATTTTAAAACTGTTTTAATGAAAGAGTTACATTTAATTTTTTTTAAAAACTGTTTAAGTTAAGTTCCACGATACAACAAGCCTGGTAAACCTGGTTTTAATTCATATTGTTGTTAAAAGAGTTATCAGTGTTATTGACTCTATTTAAGACTCACTTACCAGCGACCTTTCTAAAGGGTCTCTATTAAGTACCAACGCTGTTAAACCCCTATTTTCTATTACGATTCAAATACAGGTCTTCTCTTTTTTATACCTAGATTCTATTATTATAAGAAAAATACTACAACTGACTCTTTTCTTTTTCTTTTTTTTAACTTTCAAATATTTTCTAACGACAGTAATTTTCGAATGACAAGCAAAAGAAAAGAACTTTTTATTAAAAAAAGGATAATTGTTTTTTCAATTTAAGAAAGGTTCTACTCAATAATTACGCTTTACAACAAAATAGAGGAAGCATAAAAATGACTACTTATTATTTAGATTTTTTATTGGTTAAAAATATTTTCAAAAAAAAACAAAAACATACTTGCGCGTGTAAAATGACTTACGCAAGCGTTGTTTGCATACGCGCGCGTTTTGCTGGTCATTGTTGTTCGTATAAACAAATATATTTTAATTATTCTTTTATTGAGTTTTTTGAAAAAAACAAACAACAAAAACAACAACATCAATAAACAATCATTTAAATAATTATATGCGAAGAACAGATAATTTTTTTTTATTTGAAAATAACATGGGATAACTGTGAGGATATCAGTCAAATTTTGCTGTTTATAAGGTTTTCGTGATTTCTGACATAGTTACACGTCCGTAATGTTTAGGTACGAAACATGGATGATCGAAAAAATATTCCAAATAAACGAGATGGGAAAATTAAAAGTGATCATAATAAACCTTCTTCTAAGAAAGAAATTTGCATCGGTGAAGAGGTTAAGATTGCAGTAGCTATAGCTATCGATCGCTTTAAAAAAAATGAAGCGGAAAAAGAATTAGAGTTTCCTTCTTCATTTACTGCCCAAGAACGAGCTTATGTCCATCGATATTGTAGAGACTTAAATCTTATATCTAAAAGTCGAGGAATAGGAAACAAGCGATGTTTGACAGTTTTAAAAACAGAAAAACAAAGTTCTAATGTTAATGTAAAATTAAATATGACGAAAATTAGTGTAAATGCTATCTCAACATTACTAAGCAATTTTCCAGTCACAAGTAGAGATAGACACGAGCTTTCGGGTCAGAAGCTTCACAAAGGTATTATCAGCGAACAAAACAAAATTTTAAACAAAGAGAATAGATTAGTTTTAGGAAGTAGCGGTACTATTATTCCTCCTGAGCCTAAAGAAACTGAAGCTGGAAAATGTGCCAAAAATCTACCAATATTTCATTTTAAAGAGCAAATACTAAAAACTTTAAAAGATAAACAAGTTCTTTTAATATCTGGAGACACAGGTTCTGGAAAAACAACTCAGGTAATATAGTTATATATATATATATATATTTATATTATTTAATGTTGTGATGCTGTAATTAAATAAGTTGGGAGTAAGGTGCCAAATTAAAATTGAGTTTTTAAGGGGTAGGTATAATCAACAGAGCAGAGCAGATCATTTTCATAATACAAATGGCAGAGCGTCATTATTAAATCAGCTGAATAACCTATATTAATTCTTTCTACCATTAAAATGCAATATTGGCTGCATCGTTTTTCATAGTGTGTTTGGTGGATCAAAATACAATAATTCTAACATTTAATCTGTCAAATTATTTAGCAGATCACTTATCATTCCTATGACAGATACTGAATTTTTTGGTGAAGGTTGGGGGGATAAGGATTTTGATACCAAAACTAAAAAAAAAAAAAAAAAAAGTCTTTAAATGGTAAATCTGTAGCTAAGCGCCGTAAAATATAATTATATTTTATACTTAAAAAAATCAATGATGGTGAGCATGTTACATTTAGTTACGTTAGGCAATTAAAAAATGAATTCAAAAGTAATTAATAGGTTTTTTATTTTTTATAATTTATTTATTTTGAGGTTTTTTTAAACAGGTTTATTTGAGGGTTTTTTTTTTAAACAGGTTTATTAGAGGGTTTTTTTTTAAACAGGTATTCCAGGTTTATACTTGATTAGAAGTTTTTCTGGCATTGAAGTAGAGAGTTTTTAAAGTTGAAAATATTTATGTGTGGCAAAGTTTAGATTTTTAGTTTCAAAGTTTTTTATTTATGGCTGATGGCTATGCAATGAGTAGGTCGTGAATGTCTAAGTGCTCCTACGACTATTGTTGAAGTTGATGAAGTTCTTCACAAGCAGATTGTTGTTTAACAGAGCTTGATTACAACATAAGAAAACCATCAAGTGCTTTACAGTGGCTGGCAAGGCATAGGCTGATAAAAAATAGCATTCAGTGTAATAGTTGTCAACAACTATCTTTTTTTAGCCAAAGTAGGTTACCATTTTTTTTTTTTTTTTGTTAATTTTTTAGGTGCCCCAAGAAGTCCTTGCGGTCTTATCACAGAGCACCACGGAAGAGCATTTAATAGGAAGTTCATGCCTTCTTCCCAACCGATGTCGCAAAACAGAGGTGGGAAGGAGGCATGGTTCAAACCACCCAGAGGTGGGGTTAGAACCACGGATCTTACGTTTCTGAGACAAGTGCGCTACCACTGCGCCACGGCTGCTAATAACCACTTCAAAAGATAATTTATTATACTTATGGCTGGATTCAAAATATGACTCAGAAAGAAATCAAGTACAAAGCTGGTCTGAATGACGCTAGTCATACTTTAGCTTATTGGGCCAACTTTTGTTGTAATGTTTACAAAGTTGAACTTGAAACAAATCTTGCAGTTAAAGGAGCTATCAACGCTGGCAGGACACCAATTGTAGTTAAAATTGACAAATCAAAGTTTTTTTATTGCAAATATCATCGTGGGCAATGCCTACCAGGTCATTGGGTGTTTGGTAGTATTGAAAGGGTTTTGCGGAAGTTTTTTTTGGAAGAAGTTTTAAAGAGGTCAGCTGAAAATCTCTAAAATGCCATATTAGAATTTATTTTGCCTGGAACCAATATTGTTTCAGACAGATGGGCATCTTATACTGGGATTAAAAATCTAAATGACAAAGTTTGTTCTCATGTAGTTGTTGTTCATGAACGTCACTTTGTTGATCTGTTGAATAGCAAAAATGTATAATGTTTCTATAATTGTATAAAAAATACCTTTATGTCATCAACATAATTAAAGAACACGTTCAAGGTTAAGCTTATAGCACAATAGGTTTGACTATGCTTAGTCAGTACCAATATAATTTATTTGAAAAGTAAAAATTATTAAATTTATTGTAAGCAAATTAAAACATATTGGATATAATTTTACTACTCTAAAGACATGGAGTTATTTTTTGTGAAGCCCATAGAAATAATTTCTGTTTTGAGTCAGGCAAAGAGCTATTTTGAATTTTGTACAATATACTTGAATAAATCCATGCAGAATTGACATCTGTTTTTTGAATCTTTTTAACTCTGGCCAATTTCTTTGGAGGCATATCAGCATGTCAGCTAAGTCGACTCTTCCCATAGACTTGTTATACTCCTTTACAATTTCAGAACAGAAATCATTGACATGTGATTTATTTTTTTTATTTTTTGACAATTCATAATGAAATGGGGGTAGAGAATGTAGAATCAAGTTGAAAATATTTGTTGTCAAGTTGAACATATTTGTTGTCAAACAAATATGTTCAACCTAACATCTCACTAAAACCAAACCTGAATTGAAATTTGTGAAATAGCAACTGCTGCCACAACCTTTTTTTTATAAATTCTTTTTCTGTTGAAAGCGAATATTTTTCAACTCTATTTGATCTAATTGTTGCTGTGGTTAAAATTCCAGTAGCTTTTAGCTTCAAACACAAATTCAAAGATGTAAACCAATTGTCAAAAAAGGTTTAACATTAATATTTTTTGGAAGTGTTTCGCAAAGCTTTCTTACAACATATTCCCTATTACATTTCATATTTCCACTAGCTTCAGAATACAAAAAAAAATAAATTATAAATCATAACAGATGTGCCAGTTCTGCCAAAATTTTTAACCCCCATTTTACTAGCTTGTTTGCATTTTATTGATGTATGCCACTAAATTTGATTTTAGCATGAATTATTTGTTGGTCTATACTCTGTTTTTTCTCATGTTCAATAATTATACAATTTTTCCTCACACCATCAAGATTTGGTTGCACCTTAAACAGTTTATTTTTATTATTAGCAAGATCATCTTTCTTTGTATTGTCATCGGCATGGAAAAATTGGCTTAGTTGTTTATATCGATTTCTTGACATAGCATCGGCTATTTATATTGAGCCATATCTTGTTTCTTTTGCCTAATACATGTGGTAAGCTCATAGTAGTATGATTGACATCATCATATGCATACTAAGAAACTTCTCTATTTCATCTTTGTTTGTGTTCATAGATTTTCCATTTTTCTGAACACTATAATGGTTTGTTTGTTCTACAAGTATATTAGTTATTAAATCATCCCAAAAAAGCTTGAAAAAAGTCAATTGAGTCATTTTATAAAAAAGTTGGGGTGGTTGCCTAAAACCAGCCCCAGAAAACTCAAAATTTGATAGTGGAGGATCTTTTTTTCTTCATCTAAAGATATTTTTCAGCTGCATACAATTATCAGTTTTAATTTCATTATCACTTTTAACCTTATTATCTAAATTACTGTTATCAATATTTGCTATATCATCATCAATCCTTCTTTCGAGTTGAAAATCAGCTTCTTTGTTGTCATCATCTTCTAAATCAGATAGAATCAGAGCAAGGAGATAATATATGATGAAGAGCTGCTTCAACATTGTATCTAGTTTTGAAATATATACATGTGTCACATATATATATAATGTGTATATACATACATTCTTTGGAATTAGGAAAAATGAGGTTGGTAATAATTTAACGACCTCAATCCTGTTGGGGTCAGCATCATGTCGCCATCAGGTTGGCAAAAATTATTTGATACAAAGGTCTGGCCATAAAACATAGAAACGAGGTCAACAAATTTTTGCCGACCTCAAACACATTCAGGTCGGCAGTTAGGTCAGCATTGCCGACTCTAATTCCGAGGGTTGTACATATATATATATATATATATATATATATATATATATATATATATATATATATATATATATATATATATATATATATATATATATATATATACTATATATATATATATATATATATATACATATATATAAATATATATATATATATATATATATATATATATATATATATATATATATATATATATATATATATATATATATATATATATATATATCAGTCTTCTCTGTTGGAAATTTACCGCCAACGCACGAAAAAAGCGCTGGCCGGACAGTAATTATTTGTCCAGGGTGCGCAATTTAAAAAAATATTTGTTATTTATACCTCTTTGATAAGAATTTGATTTTATGTATATATATATATATATATATATATATATATATATAGAGTTGCAACCCCAAAAAAAACGGTGTGTTTTTTTAAAAAAAAAACACGTTTTTTTTGCAAAAAAAACAGACTGGTTCTAAAAACATGTTTTTTATAGTTTTTTTTGCTTTTTTTTAGTATTCATTAAATTTTAGATAATAATAATACTTGAAACAGTTCCAGTGCCCTTAAACCTACAAAATACAAATGTTTTCTATTTAATAAAATGCATATTAACTTATATAATAGCTGTTACAAACTAATCACCAATATTAAAAAAAAACAGTATTAAATATTTAAAAAAGTAATTTTTTAAATAAATCTCAAAAAAACTATACTATTAGCTACTAGTTGATTGTAAGTATAATACTACTGAATGAAGGAAATAAAAATGTTATTTTAGCAGTGTTATTTCATTCATAAAAATGAATGAAATAACACTGCATTGCAAAATACAAAATTAAACCAACTGTTAAATAAAATTTACTTTAATGTTTTATTTACTTTTGTATATTACTTTTTTAAATTTTTAATATTTAATTTCTTTATTTTATTTTAAATTGCAATTAGATAGCTAAAATTTTATTTATTCAAACAATATTCAAGTAAATAAAAATAACACAATGATTAACTTTGTCTAATGAAAAAACATTTATATTAAACAATTTGTAATCTATTAATTATTTTTAATTAAAAAAAAAAAAAAGAAATCTAAAAAAAAATATGCCAGGCAGAAAGAAATGTTTTGTAGCTACATTGTTCAATGAGGCACCTTTAGAATCTGGAGGTTCTAAAATTCAACAAGTTATATGCAAATTTTGCAGCTTAAAGCTATCAAAAAATGGCACTCGAATGACTGAGCACATTGCAAAATGTATGAAATGTGGCGATCAAATAAAAAACAAATATTTGAACGATATGCCTTTTAAACAGAAGAAAGTTCAAACTGAACTAATGATGGAAGA